TCGTCCGTTTTGCACGCCCAAACCCGATGCAGATCTGTGCATGCGCTTGGATTTACTGCCGGACAAAAAAACTGTGGAAAATCAGGACTGGGCCACGGGCCTCCGGGTCGCAGGCCGTTGCGGGCCGCTGGGCCTTCGGCCTGCCAGGCCGTTGGGCCGTCGCGGGCCGCGGGCCTGCTTTTAGCAAAACCCGTCACTAAGGGCCCTGAAATGCCAATTCCTCATGAGATTCGGTCATTCATAAATTTCGTCTTATTTTAGAGCACGAATCTTGAATATTCATGAAGCTTGACTTTTTAAGGTCTCCGTATTCCACTATGGCTTTATCTCCTCCCATATAAACGCAAACACATATTTCAAGAGAGGAAAATACTCTCTTGCCTTCTATATTAGAAGATTAGAGGTGGGATGCGTAAACGTTAACTTGTCGGAAAATCTTCGTAACTCATCGTGGGTCCTTCGCCTATCTTCGTAGAACAGTTTAGCGTTAACCAATCAGAATCCAAAACGGTTGAGCGCAGTATTCGAATTTTGTTGACCACTGTTTGATGAAGAGGCATTTGTAAACTTTAAATATTATTTTAAAATGAAGAATTTATCGTCCATCGATTTCAAGGACAACGTGCGATTCGTCGTTAGAAGGAATCTGAAGCAATTAGGCATCAAAGTACCGAAGCAGAAGAACTGTAAAGTTCAAGTAAGCGTGTTTCACAGCCGAGTGTGAAATTTCAGTTTAGTTCTTCATCCATATGGTTCTATCAGCTTTTGAAATGTTTGCAGTGTTGATACTTTTCCACTTAAGCTAACGTTTACAAGGCGTAACCGTGGATATTTTCTTTTCCTTAAAGCAGCCGGTTGACGAGCAAAATAAAAGTGGCGTGTTCGGAGTGTGTCTGGAGAAGGTGACTTCTGTGAACGTTGGAGAAGATTTTTACTGCAGTGTTCCAAAGTAACTAGATGATACTTTTCTGATCAAAACACAGGGGATGACATACACATGTGTTTTTTAAACTGATGTCCATGGCTATATGTATTTTCGATCGTTTGACTTAGGGTTTAACCATTTATTTACAAAAAAAGCTTATTATAAAACAAGGTAAAAAATTATACTGCGTAAATAAAACATTTGAATTTCGAAAATGTTATCCTCTGTCGCAGGTCAAATAAACGATCTTTACAAACATTTAAATTTTGTATGTATAGTGCATATTAATTATGAACGTCGTAACCTCGATATTTTCCCCTTAGATTCGTGGTGGATTCTGCAAATTTTCTTCAGCAACATCTGGAGACAGAAGGACTCTTTAGAAAGTCTGGATCCATTCAAAGACAAAAATTGCTCAAGGTTAGTCTTCTTGTATATTTCTTCTATTCAAAATCTACTTGTGTGAACTTTACGTGGGAATATATTGTCAATTTTTATACGACGTAAATTAGCCGAGTGATTTTCTTTCTTGTTTCTTAGCACTTGTGTAATGACTTTGATTTTTTTTGAAACAGCAAAAAGCAGAAAATGGGGAAGAATTTCAGAATGTCCAACCCCATGATGTTGCAAGTTTGGTGAAGCAATTTTTCAGGCAGTTACCAGAACCATTATTGACCAGTCAACTCCATGATTGCTTCATAAAGACACAGCGAATTATTCATGATCATGGTGACCAGACAGATGCTGTCCTACTTCTCTGCCTTTTGTTACCCATTGCACATCTTAATACACTGCAGTTTACAATGAAGTTCTTGGCCAAAGTAGCTAAGTGTTCACAGCACAGTAAGATGGGAACCTCAAACCTTGCCATTGTTCTTACTCCCAACCTAATACACAACACAAAGAAAGAAGGGAACAGTGCCACAGAAAAGCAGCTAAAGGAGCAAACAGCAGTCATTGATATCCTTCTAAAAAATGCTGAGGAAATTGGTTTAGTAAGTGAAGATATCTATGAGCGTGCAAAGATGATTGGAGATGAGTTTGTTGATGGTATGACATCATCAGGTGATGAGCTTGATGGTGACAACAACTTGAGGCGAGGTAACAAAAGGCAGTCAAGGGCAAGGACAAGAACTGGTTCACTCTCAGGTATGCAGCTTAACTATGCCATGTTTTTGTGCACTAGAGAAAAAAGTAATTACAGTTACCATAATTTGAAAGACCCTGAAAGATCTTTAGACCCATCCATCATTAATTTTTGGAAATTTACAGTACACAGCTTTCTTTTTTTCTTTGAATCTTTCAATGGTTATTTTTTTTTAATTTTATGTAGGCTTTGTCTCTGGTCTGGGCCAAAGTCTTAGTAAGTTCAAGAATTCATCATCCTCTAAAACACCAGTACATACACACAGGCGTTCCAGGAGCATGAAAGCAGAACTGATGAGAAACAAGGTGAAATATAACCTTGAGGATAATGTGTTGGATAAGAAATCAGGTAACTGGACAATTTTGTTTGCCTTACCTAACTTGAATACCTAACTATTGAATATAAAGCAAAGCAGCAACACTTCAATTATATCTATCATTACTGGAACCTTTTCAGAAGTAATGACTTAGCCAATAATACACAGCTAGGTGAGCAAATATATGGAATTTCTCTTCAAGTGTTCATCTTTTACAAGAGTGATGCAGCAAATAAGTGAGATGTCAAGTTGAACACAAAATCGCCAAACTCTTTTACTATTAATATTCTTTTTATTATCACAAGAAAAGGTAATTCCAAAGTTGGAAAAGACTGAGTTTTACATCCCACTTACATAATTATGTACTTTTCAAATTAGGGTTGCGTTGTAACTTAAAACAGTACATTTTCTGGTTGTCATATTGAGTATAAACAAATAAGATTTAAGATTAAATTGTGAAATTGTGTGTATCATCTATTGTTCTTGTAATTAATAAACAAATTTTATGAAGTGTGAGATGATGCCCATCACTATCAGCAAACTGTAGGATGCTTCTCCTTTTTGATCCATAGATGACCTGGAATTAGAGAATTTTGTGGCTCGCACTAACCAAAGGATGAGCCTTAGGCTTTATAACAAGCGACGACCACCAGATCAAAATCTCCATTCTACTTCACCTGCAGTCAAAAGGTCAATATTTGTTTAACAATCCACCTTCAAATTTGTTATTTGTTATTCCAATAGGTTAAACCCATTGACATTGCATTTTTGGGGATTTTAATAGGAGCTATTTACTGAAACTGTGGTTAGTGGTTGACTTATTGCAGTACCTTTTTCAGTGGCTGACTCTAAAAACTGGTTGACAAACTTCACCTTAGTTAATTTACCTTGTACCATCTTGGAGTGGTACTATAAAAAACAAAAGCACAACAAAAAAACAGTCATGGCAATGGTATTGTTGGGTTGTGGCATTTGAGTGTTTTATGATCATAGGGTGTTGCAAATCACATAATGAAATTTTGCATTTCATCATTTTCTTTCTGTTCCCTTTCTGAATATGAAAGCGATCTTCACAGTAATGAACACTACTTAATGAATAAACAGTAGTGAAAATAACTCCTCAAAAAAATTCAGGCCTGTACAGGATTTGAACCCATGACCTCTGTAATACTGGTGCAGTGCAACTGAGCTTAACCGCGCTTGAAGAAAATGAATGTGAAAGTCATCCTTTCTGTTCTCTTCACGCACAATCTTTTGTGTAGACTTTGCAATCTTTTTTCATGTTGCAGACAAGTGTTATAATACAGTGTAACTGTAACAGACTACTAAAAGCAGATAGGATTTGCAACATTTTGAAAACCTTCAAATGATGCTCCTTTTTCCCAAGTGATCAGTAACATGAATGGTGTTAATTGAATTTTACATGAACCATCTCCAACTTCTTAGTTTGTGAGTTGTTGGAAAATGCACTTGATGACTAATTGTTAGTTTTTTAATTGATCTGTGTTTTGGATGCAGACGAATGATGAATGATCTGAGCAATGTTCAGGGAATCAGCAATCCACGTCTTATATCAGCCTCAACCCAGATGTTCACCACCCCTATTAAACCACTGCAGGTTCCTTTTAAGCCTCTTAGTGACATGGGTATGAATTTTGTCAGATTATTAGATATTTATTGTTAGTAGCACAAACAGCCCCTTGATATCCATATGCAACAACAATTATTGAGAATGAGCGACACTATCAGCACACTTCATTTGTAAATTAATGATTGATAAAGAAATACAACCCACCTACAATCCTGGGAGATTTTCTAGAAGCTGGTTATGACAACAAAAAAGTAGGAAGCAAAGATTAAAAATTAAAATTAATATCTGATTCAGTGTAATATAGGGGGCCAGCACTTCAAAAATAAGTCACTGGTGACAAGAGGTAATGCATTTTAGAACAAGAGTTCAAATCCTAGAAGCCATGACCGCAATAACTTTAGACAATGCTCCATGACACTCTGTAAGTTTTTTTCTATTTTGACTCTTATGTATATACATGTTCATTTATTATTTATACTTTGTCATTGAAAATATGTATTTTTTTTCATATTTTATGTCAATGTTTCAGTAGTGTGAGGGCCTCATGTTAGATAACTCCTTGGGTTAATTAGCATCCCTCCTCAAATAAAGTTTATTGATTGATTGATTGATTGAGACATGACTGTCAGTTCCATTTTTGTGTGAAATAAGGCAGTCATATAGTGCAAAGTGTCTTGCATAAGAGCACGACATGATAAGTTACCCAGCCAGGGCTCAACCCCTGCTCTTCATAATGGTGGGTAATGATGGCATGCTAACCAGTACTTTCCTAATGCCGCCATTTCTCCCACCATGGAATCCTATTAGAGAGCTAAGTGTGAGCAGATATTTTTTATATCTTTAGCAGATATTTTTTTCTTTCTAGTAAAACCTGCCCATAGTAGGATATTGTTGTCAAATGAGACAGAGCATGTGAAAGTTGTTGATGCTATGTCCTATGTGCCTTCTCCAAATGAGAAGTATCTTGGAACTGATTGTCTTGCGTCACCTGGCATAAGTTTGGGTTCACCTCACATGTCACCAAGGCATGATGAAGTGTTTGAATCACCTACAGCTGGAGCTGACAAGTACAGACAGTTTGCAGCACCACGTAGAAGAGTCAGACGACGGTAGGATATCATATTATTATTAATTTTAAATAGTGTGTTACCACTCGTGACCCATTCCTAACAGCCAGGAGAATCACCCAGCCACTTGAGTCATTCATACAAGCTACTAGGGAAAGAAATTACAGTTTGCATACCACACTGTAGAGAAGACAAATTTTATTAAAAACAATTTGAATATCCAAGAATGGAAATGTGATTTTCAAGTCTTGTCACCCACATCATAAGGAACTATGATGTACTGTCCTGAGTCTCAAGCAACTGTCAAGCGAGTGTCAAACAACTCTCGACTGATATATCGGTCGAGAGCACCTATAATAAACAAGATACAGAACGCCTATTACCAATTACTAATTCTTTCTTGAACATTTTCAAGACATTCATCAGGTGCGACAACTTGCTTCTCATCCTCTCCACGGAACAGATATCAAGCAAGCTCTAAGCATTCTGTAAGTTAATTATAGGATTGCAAAATTCAGGAATTATGGGAATGGTTTTTCTATATGATTGTGGTGGACCAAACGAGCTTGTTTTCCAAGAATTTCCATCTCCCCCCTCTTCCCCTTAGGGGTAGCTAGTTTACTGAGGTGTTTGTTTTCACATGATACCACGGTTTTGCAGAAAATTTTCTAATTCTTACCCTCCTGCTGAGTCATATTGATTAACATCGGAAGACTATGGGGTTACCCATCTTGGTAATCAAGCTTAAGTTCCCCAAACCATGTGCATTAATTTTAGCTTCCATAGATGACTTTGATAAAACATAGATGGTTAAGGGTATTTTATATTGACTGAATCGAAATATGGCATCCAATTTAAATTGCCATTGTTCTGGACTTTCTGGCCTCTCACACATGTGATAATCCTTTTATGTTTTCATGTCAAGACAAGGCTAGTAAGTCCAAAACAATCATGGTAATTCAAATTGGATGCCATATTTCGATTCGGTCAATTTCATGTAATGTTATCAGCTTTATTGATTTATTATTTTTGCTTTTATCAATGTCATCATCATTGAGTTATTATAATTTTTGACAGGTAGAAAAGGAGTTAGCACAATGCAAGCAGTCCACACACAACCCTACCTTGTTGCCAACAGATGGAATGGATATCAGTCACATTTCAGTTGCTGCTACTGTGGAGCCAGCCAAAGAAAACATTCCCAAGACTTGTGTTCATTATTCAGGAGCAGCTCTACTTAAAGAAAATGCTAATCTAACACCTTGTAAGTTCCACCATGGGACCCCTCCCCTGCCAGTCAACAATACTGAGCTCCGAGAATTGGTGTCTCAAAGGATTTAAAGGATGAGTGTCAATTAATCAAGTAAACCTCTGGCCTATATTTTTTGTACTTAATTACTACATTTTTTGTGCACTAAGAAAATTAGTTTTACCTGCAATACAGGAGTAGTCTCTGGAAACTGAAGTTTGTGAGTGGCAGTAACTGACTATAAGAATGACAAATTGTACTCCAACAAGTGAAGGGCATCCTCAGAGAACTGTTGAAAATTGCTCTGCTTGTACGTGTTTGATCACAGGTTTCTTTTACTTTTACTCTTTTCTCCGCGGTGAGGAGTGTGAAGATGTTGCTTATTTCATGAAAAACAAGGGGACAAGGAAAAATATCTTCCTGTCATAAGGAATACAGCCCCAGACCTGAGGTAAGGGGTTTGTTTCCTGATGAGGGATTCAATTTTTTTCTTTGTCACCTGTTAATAATATAATGAGTTAGATCTTTCTTTATTTCACAACTGATCTCAAAATTTACCATCTTTGTGACTCTTAACTATTTACTCAAAAACAATTGATAAGGTCATTGGAAAATAAAGGGGAATTTTTATTGAGAGTAGAAATAACAAATCAAATGCAAGTAAGGATTGGGTATTGTGCAAGTGGTGCCTTTATTGACAACTGAGGTAATTCCTTGATTGCTTTGAACTGGGTACATCTGTTACTCCAACTACCTAGACAAGGTTGAGCTAAGGTCACCAAGCTGTAACAGACAAGAAATGTCACAGAAATCATTGGTTGTAGAAGTTCACACAAGGTAGCTATCTAGAAAATAAATGTAAATTTGTATGCTGAGAAATTGTCAAATTATGTTAAAAGTACACTTGTTAATTAATGTCAGTAGATTTAAATGTACATCAGAACTTTAAAATGTTTCAAATATTTCAATAAAGAAATTGTCATTTATTGTACACTTGCTACACCAACATTCATAGGATTGAAGCTTTGAAAACAGACATTCTGCTGTACACAAAATAAATTGTTTTGAAGAACATATTGCAAGCTTCCAGAGATTTTTCTCAGGGATTTAAAGATAGATGGATCTTGTATGTAACTCCTCCCTATAATAGCCATCCATTATCCAGCAAACAGACAATAAGAATACTCAAACTTATCAGGAAGAAGTTGTTATCTTGATCTGTCATCAGATTCTCATAACCAATCTACAAGGAAATGTGTTGTCGCCAGAGGAGAGAATTAACAGTCAGTTCTTGGGAGTATGGCACGCCGTTTGTAGCAAAATTCAATCAAGTCAAATATTTATTCAATCTAATCATTTTGGCGTGATACAATTTAATTCAATCTTCTAAACATATTCAAACAATCCGAAAAAGCATTCAATTCAAACCCATGTTTTTCAGTTTAATTTAATACGAGTGAATATTTATTCAGTCCAATCACGGAAATATCTATTCAATCCAATCACGGAAACATAGTTATTCAATCCACTCAAAAACATATCCAATGCAATCCTCGAGAAATTCATTCAATCTTCCTGGGGTGAGCGCGGCCAAACCTGGCTTGTAGGGGATTTGGAATAGAAACCATAACTTGAAAATGGCGGACGTTGGTGCTTTTGATTTAGAAACTGATCTTCCCAAGTTTTTGGAGTCTGTTCTTCAAAACGCAGAAATTGTTTTACAAAACGTTGATAATGAAACTCAAGTAGATGCAGAAATGCATTTTGAAGTAGTAGTTCAAACTGTTTCTTTGATTTGAGCATTGCAAGAGACAAGTGACGTCCAACCATCGGACATAAGATATGGCAGCATGCTCACTGTTACGTTCTGAGAATACAGTAAAGACTCAAGTTACTGTTAAAATTTGATAATTTTGATGTTCTGTTTCATGCATACTGTACATTTCAGTCTGCCCAGGTAAGGTAAATCAAATATATTGTATACCATACTTACCCAAGTAAAAAAAATGGCATGTTAAAATACTGGTACACACCCCAATTTTGGTTTCTAAGGAGAATTTATTTCAAATGTTTTAAAGGACTTCAACAACCAGGCCTGTAGGCTGGATGTGATATAAAGGAAGCACAATGGGAGAGGGGTTTGAAGCAGATCAAGGTTCAAAAAGTGTATGGACTAAATCTCCAAGGCTGTGTGAGCATTTCATCGATGGAATATGCAGATCGTATTTTATGATACTGTGTATCACATACAGGTAAATCAAGACCCTATTTTCAAAATGAAGGGTTTACTGCAATAAATATGAAATGACAATTTTATATCCAAAAGTCTGACTGAAGTTGCAAAATCAAAGAGTTTAAAACCAGTATTTACTTTGAACACAACCATATCCACTTCTTGACTAGGTTGCACTAAAATGGTAAACAATATAGGGTATTATTGCTCTTAAGGTTAAGAGAGTGCCGGCTAATCACTCTTGAGCAGCCTGCAGTCATGGAAAGATGCAAAACATAGACTTGTGCAAACCATAATACCCTGTTC